CTCTCCATTTCCGTCTCCTTGAAGTCCAGCGTGCAGCGGACTGCAGTTAAACACAGCAATCAACTGCGATAGGAGAAAACCCCATTATAGTGAGCAAAGCAATAGCTTCAAGGCGACAGATAACAGTGCAGGGAGAGAAGGTCAAAACAGGTGCAGAGAAATCCTGGAGGTTGAGAGTGAAAGCTTGGACTCTATTTGGGTGATTTTTAACTATCCTAGTCAATTATGGGTGACACAGCTTAATTGTTCCCTTTACTTAAATTTATACTGCATAATTTAAACACATACACACAGAGAGAGAGAGAGAGAGAATTTTTCAAGGCTACAGAGAAACACTAATTGATTCCTAATGATGCTTTGGGTGAAATGTGGTTTGCTAACTGTCAATAGTTTACAAAATATGTCTGCCTGGTGGTGGCTCTACCAGATTAATTGATTCTAATTTAAAGCTACAAATATATTGCAGAATAGAGCAGTCACATGATACACATGTGTATTATTGCTAGTGTCACTGCAAAATCATTAATTTCATCTAGCGTGACTCATGCCTTTGTATGATAACACGCTCACTACAAACATGAAGTCTGGCTGTCCTGAATTTAGACAAAATTTTCCTTCATTTATAACTAATCTATACATGTTTTGATCACGTATGTATACAAGGCTTATCTGTCTGGGTTGTACATGTTTTTGAAAATACATACTGTATTCTTCTAACTTATTGCACACTTAATAAGAGTGGTTCATTATCTGATAAGAAGAGCCGCTTCCAATAATTAGCTGTTTCCAAAGGAATCAACTCTAATACAAATCATACATGGTTTGCATGAAATCAGCACTCTGTAGACTTGCTTGTTTCTTCCTAAATCTGTTTTGTTTAAAATCACTGTTTTTTCCACCTCGATGCACCACACAGTGGACCTGAAAGTACTTCTCCAGGTGAATCTAACTGAAGCATAAACACTTCCTTCACTCAAGGTTGAGAAATGGGACTGGGCTTCAAAGACTACTATCTTTGCATAGCCTTGGGCCATGCCGTCAACCTTGGCTAGCTGGACAATCACAGTTCAAGGAAACAGGGAGGGTGGGAACTGTTGGAATTATAGGGGGTCACAAAGCTATTCCCATATAAAATATGCCCAGCTAAGTGTACCACACAAACAATGGGATAAATGAGCATTATGACATCTGAAAAGCATCTCTGATTTATATAAACAAATAATGATACAAAGAAAGGGCAGCCCTAATTACAATACCACCACCTGCCTCCTAAAAAGTACCACCTTACTGAAATACTCCAGCTATAGGGAAAGCTTACTTTGAAAGCATTTTTTCTTCTCTGCATTTACATGAAAGAAGGTGCATGGTTTGAGTCAAGTTTGTGATGGCCTCCTGTGTCACCCCCAGTGCAGGCAATTTCTGAGTTATGAGCTTAGAGCTGATTATGTAACCTCGGGTCTATCTTTATAACACCCCCCCCCCCCCAATTTTGGACCACTGCTGATCATTATACCCTAATCAGAGCTCAAGAGAGAATAAGGGATTATAGATGAAGGTTTGATGGTGACATAAAAGAGAACTAAGCATTCAAATATTTTCATAGATTTTTATCATTTAAGTGATCCCATTACTCGTCACCAGAGATGATAAAAAATGTTCAAGTTTGCGTTTAAGCCTACAGGCCCATCACCTAGTTGAAACTGCATAAGCTCAAGCCTGGACTAATTCTCCTAAATCTGACAGCTGAATTCTAATTCCCTCACACACCCAATGGTCTCAGCTTCTCACTTCTCACCAATATATCACCTCCTCCCTGAATCTGAGACTGAGAATCTCCTTAATTACTCTACTGTTCAGATATTCCCATGGCTACAATGTCATCAAACATACCAGGAAAATACTTCATCCAACTCAGCCCAGGCTTTAGCATCTCATGTCTCCATGTTCCAGGTTCACAAAGTATTACAAAATGTATCTATTTAGATGGTGCCATGAACTTGCAGTATACCGTTTGACCTGAGAATCTTGAGCACTGGAGCTCACCTTATTTGCATGGACCTAGCACTCCTAATTCATGTACTGTGAAATCCAGAAGCTGCCTCACTTTGTAGATACAAAGCAGTACTACTTCTAAGAATGAATCCTAATTTGTACCATCTTGGGCCCTTTTCTATTCTATCTTTCAAAGCTATCTAAAAGGAGCTATATGATTTTATTACTCTGTAAGGAGCAGTAACCTTTGTCTATAAAATAAGAAGTGCAATCCTCTTGTTTTCCTTTATACCTTCTCTGCCAGGCATCTTAGAGCTATATTAAATACTCACTCTCAGAAAATGTGTTGGGCTACATGAGTGTAAGTCCTTGCCACACTCCCCATTTGTGGTCTTTATTTCCTGTTTTCATTTTATCAGCGTTATTGTAAAACAATCTTTTACATCATAAGCCACTTCACATCCTTTGGAAAGCTAAGTTATTAGCGTGATTTTAAAAAGTAACCTCACCCAATGAACAATACTAAAGAAAGTCCAAATCTCAAAGTCCACATCTCAGATATCATGATGTACAAAATAAACTCATCAACCCAGAATAAAGGGAGAACGTTGTGAATACACAAGTTTTTGATTCAATACAATAATTTAGATTATAGAAATTATTTATGTATGAGTTTAGATGTTGACCATGTCCAAGGGTAATACACCACAGACATGTTCTGTAATACTGAGAACTTTATAAGACTTAAATTACACTAAAAGAATTGTTTAAATAAACATAAGTAGAAATATCTTACAAATAAAAGTTTAAAATGTGGAAGGTAATCAGAAAATGGTTTAGCCAGTCCCATTAAATTATTGTATAAAAATCGTATCTACTGTATGTGCTTTCCTCCCATCTTCTGCTCATTTGCATTAGTTGTCTGGCTGTAACTGGACTTGAACTTTTCAGTTTCAAAAAAGCTTTACACAAGAAAACATTATACTGGGGGCAAAAAAATATTCACCAAAGCAGTACATAAAACCAGCCACTATTTGTTTAACATATAATTATTTTCTTTTTCAGCCTGTGATGAAGACTTCACTCTTGTACAACTCAAATCTGCATGGGATTGGCATTTGATTGATATCAGGTGACCTAGTATCATATAAAAATAATTTACTGTGCCATGTGCCTCATGCAATGTAAATCAATAGCTGGAATATAGAGACATCTTAATTAGACAGCACATGGGTAGCAAGATCTGCCTCGTTCTTTCCTTTATCATTAAAATGGCAAGCATTACAGTGCAGTGCTTGTTATAAAGTTGCTTTGGAGTGGGGATCTATTAGTTCAAGCTGGGAGTTACAAAGTGAGAGTCGCCGGCAAATGGGATAAAAAATCAAGCACAGGGTTTTGTGATAGCCTGTGAGGAGGGGGCATGAGCCTGTTACAACACTGACTGGTGCATTCCTATAGCACCTGTATATTATCACGGGCTTGAAGAGTTGAACAGGGTCTTGAATTAGGACTGAACACAGAGGAGTCACCCATGCTTCCTACCCTGTTCCTCCAAGAAGCCTCTAAACCAGTGTTGCACGCATGCTTGGTTTTAGCCACAGCGAGAGGAATCCTCTGAAGGCCCAACTGTGGTCTCTCTTCAAAACACGTAACAAAATGAAGAACTAGTAAACAAGCCCAGCCGGTGTGGCTCAGTGGTTGAGCATCAATCCATGCACCAAGGTCGCCGATTTAATTCCTGGTCAGGGCACATGCCCAGGTTGTGGGCCTGATCCCCAGTGGGGGGCATGCAGGAGGCAGCCAATCAATGTTCTCTCTCATCAATGTTCTCTCTCATCAATGTTTCTCTCTCTCCCTCTTCATCTCTAATACCAATAAAGAAAAAATACATTAAAAAAATTATTACACAAGCCTCATAATGAGGAAGCTATATTATCTATCACCAATCACAGCGATTTTCAACTTTTTTCATTTCATAGCACAAACACTAATTACTAAAATTCTACAGCACACCAAAAATATATTTTTTGCCGATCTGACCAAAAATAGGTAAAATTTTATTCATTCATACCAAATGGCTATTATTGTACTGGCTCTTGTCAATTATTGATTTGATATTTTAAGGGAAAAGAGGTCAGTGTCCCTAACCAAATAGTTAGGTATTGCCTGTTTTAAAAATTCTTGCAGCTCACAGGTTAAAAATTGCTTACTGGTCATATCCAAATCCTAACTGTAAATTAAAGATAAGATCCACCTAGTTTGCTCATGAAAATTTAAGGGCAGCTTCTCAAACTTGACTCTGTCTGGGAGAACCTCAGAGGAAAAACAAAAACCAAAAAATTATTTTCTTGATTTTGCAAATGGTGAAGTGAACCACAGAAATGAAAGTAAGTTGTCCCTCACAGGGTCCCAGGAGAGTAACTGCACAAGTTCGTGTTTTATCCGTGAAGCTGAATAGATTTTAAAGAACAAGCTGAACTTTCACCTAGCCCCATATTAATGATAATTGAAGACTAAAAGATTCTGACTATGCTGGAATTAAATCTAAGAAGAGGTATTTTTTCAAAATCCTCCTTTCAAATTTAAGTTCATTGATTTTTTTTTTTTTTTAATAAATATTTCCTCTAAGTCATGAGTAAGAGCTTACTGGATGAGATGATTCACTCTCTCTCTATCTTAAAATAGGATTATGAAGACCAGAGAAATTTCATCCTCCTGGCTGGCCCTTCACAGGACATGCCGATAGGCCACAAAATCACCCTTGGAATGCCATCGGGGAAGAAAAGACATCCAGGCTCAATGAAGCCAAGACTATGTGAGGTGCAAAGTAAGTTTCAGGTGCAAATGAAGGTCCAGATGCATTGGGATGGCTTGGTCAGCAGACAAGGTCGAAACTGTTAGCCCATCAGACGCAACAGAAGCTTGCACACTGGAAATTCAAGCAAAGGTGTTATTGGTGCAGGGAGCCATGCACCGTGTGAAGCAAGGAGCTCAGCTCCTAACAATACCTGGTGAACTGCTGCTGCAGGCCACGCATCTGAATCCGGTTGCGTTCAGACTCCAGTGTCACCTCCTGCAACCGCTTCTCACTCTGAAGACGTAAGTGTCTCTCCTCTTCCAATTCATGTATCAGCTTCTCGTGCTATAAAAGGCATAAAGGAAATGACTTTTAAGAAGGTGTTTCTTAAATATTATGACAAAAAATAATCAGTGATAGCTGTCAGTTCTAACTTGGATTTTATATATACATTAATTAATTTTTTCCTTGTTAAAAACCCACGAAGTAGATTCTATCATTAATCTTTCATTGTAGACAAGGAAACCAAAGATTAGAAACATCTAAGTAATTTGTCATGAAAACCAGATATAACAGGTTTTCAATCCTGGCTGATTTGACTCTAATGCTTAAATAATTTCCACTGAACCAGGTGGCTTCCTGTGCAGATATGAAGATCTATGACCCAATAATACTATCAAATGTATAATAATTCAAGTAATAATGACTGAGATCATTAGTGCCTGTTCAGAATTATTCTCTCTCTTCAATCTCTGGTATAGGCTTTAAAGGGAACATTACTGTGTTTTATAGAAGGGACAAGAATTTCAAGTTGATTAGACCATGGAGCTCATGAGAATAAGGTTAAAGAATGTTTCTATTTTGTCCAATTAGGTTTTCACAGATAAAACTAGGCTACCCCCCCCACACACACACACACTGTATTTATAATCCCAGAAAACTGGCTCATTTCACAAATGGGCATCAAAAATTAAAAGAGGGACTGGATGACCCAGAATAGATGTTCAGCAAAAGTTCATTTCAGGAACTGGTAAAAAGCACACAAGATCAGATCCTCCTCACATTACCTACTCATCTATGCTAATGTTTTGTTTTGTTGTTGTTACTGCTTTTAATTTTTTTTTGTATGTCATGCTGTTATAGTTATTGTTGGTACTAAATTAAGCACTTTGCATATAAAATATATATTATTTGATGAAAACCAAAGACTCAGTGCCTGATTATCAGGGATTTATATTCTTAAAGGAAAAGAAGGGCAGCAGAGACCTTAGTGTCCAAATATATTAGATGCTATGACTTTGTACCATGGATTACCCAGGATGAAATGGGATCCATTGGATGGAATGTAGTCACAGAAAGTAATAACAAAGACAAATTTTCTCCAGCTCTAACTCATATGAAAAAGGTTCTCCTGAGAACCATGATGAACACCTTAGGTCATAATCTGGAAATGAAGGTACTCTGAAAATACTTACACCCTGGCCCCTTCCCCTGCCCCTTTGACCATGCTTTTCCTCCTGCTTATAAAGCCCCCTGAGGTCCGTCTCTCTATTCAAAGTCCAGGGTTCCTTCCAGCCTCATCTTTAAGCCATCTCCTCCAGAACTTTTCCCGTATCCCTTCATAGTTCTTTCCCTTGCCTGAGTTTCAACAGTACATACCATCTTTACTACCCTTTAGGTCCTTACTTATTTTTCCTATTATTATTTTTCCTATATATTTATTATGAAAGTGTTCATCTCTAACTAAATGAACACTTGCTTGAGGTTAGGACGATGTCTACTGTGCATATGTACTTTTTATTTAGAATATTATCCAATGCATTGTAGAAGTGAAACTATCAGCTCATGGAGTTGGCCTTTTGCTACCTCAGGGCTATAAATTCTATGTTCGTAGCTCTTCAATGAACCATTTCTTTACTCCCACAGTTACTTCTATTGGGAAAAGTAAAATCAAAATAAAACTATATTCCATTACTTTTAGTAGTTGGAAAGGAAGAAACATATGATAATGGAAGAGAAATGTACTAATTAATGTCAAAGCACTGCAGAAATAGCTAAAATGGCAATTTTATATTTACATATATTTAACTGCATGTAAAATATAAACAGCTTTACTCAATTATTACCCACAATCAACGTCACTCTCTGTATATACTCATTGAACTAGAAGGAACATGAATAAGTCACCTACATTATAGAATTCGGAAGGTTGTGCTTTGATTCCAGAAACAAGCAATCAAAATGGTGTATGTTAAATTGTTCAAAAGTACATCCCATGAACAATGTGATGTTTTTCAGAGAAGCAGCATCCCTCCTTCCTTCAAAAGTAAAGAATCTTACATAGATTGCCTCACTATTACATTGAAGAATCCCCAAGGTCTATTAAAGTAGGTTTTCCATATGCATATTTTTGTTCAATTTGTTAATGCCTTTTCAAATGATACTCTTACAACAAAGAAAAAGTTCTGGGAAATTCTAAAACTAATGAAGGCAAAAGTTGCTTACTAAAATCTATTTTGTTTCAGTTAAACCATCAAAGCCTGACAATAAGCCAAACCTATTTTCCAAATCTGGAAAAATTTTTTTTACCTAAATTGTAAAACATGGCTAACAGTAGCAAGTGAATATATATCACTGGATTGGCCAGGTTTTATTGTTGTTGTTGTTGTTGTTGTTTCTGTATTAGCTGTATCCTAGGTGTAAACTAACTTATCCTCAAAGAAATTTTGGCTTTCTCCCACAGGTGTGCTCCACATCTTTTACAGCAGGGAGATGGAAGGCGAGTGAGAGGTGGAGAATGATTGGGTGTTATCTGCATGGTGCCACTACGTACTAAAGAGAAGTAAGTAAAGACATTGTCACCAAATTTCTATGGCAACAGCACGCTTTCCACTGACCCACTGTGCTGGGCTGGCTTTAAGAAGTTCTCTTAAGAGAGTTCTGGGAGTGCCTTTCAAAATGGACTGGGCCTCATATTTGCATTTCATTTCGCAAGATCACATCTTCTGCTTCTCCTCCTTGGCCTTTCTTGTCAGCACACCTGAGTGCTACCCCAGGAACACTAACACTGGTCCTAGGGCTGGGTCTAAGACGGGACGTGACACATGTGCACAGAAACGTTTGCCAGACACATTCTCCCCCGCCCTTTAGAGACGTGGGCTTCATTTACTCTCACTCAGAAGGAAAGTTAGCATATTTTTCTCGACAAAAGCTGGCTCCAAGTGAGTGAACTTTCAACCCTGTGTTCTATAGCTTCTCTAACTCTGACATAAGTTCCATAAGAAAAATCTTGAATCTGGAGAGCACAGTACATTTTGAAAATTGTTTTCATCCTCATTTCTGTATCCAGTCCTCAGAACAACTCGGCAAAGTCAGTTGTTATCAACTGCATTTAAAGATTTTTAAAAATGGGATCAAGTCAGGGAAAGAGCTTGCCGAGGTTAGAAACGACAGGTCTGGGACCAGAACCAAGTGTTTCGGGCCCTAAATTCTCTCTCTTTTTTTTTTTTTTTTTTTTCTTCCTACTATGGCCAGTTTTATTATAACACTTATTTTAAAGGTGCAAATTTATCAGGGAAATTCTGAGCATGACACAAACCTCACATTTGCTTATGCCCAATTTTATTCACAAGAAACATGAGTCAGCATAACACCGCATCCTGCTGCACCTAGAGTAGAAATACACAAATCACACACAGCTCAGACCCGCCCGCCCTCGGGCCTCCCTGCACGTGGTGAGCGGCCGGAGCAACGTGCCCTCCGCTGACAGTCTTCCTTCTGCCGAGTCCCGCTGACCCAAGCTGACAATGAGCACTTCTCTGTCAGGGTGAAGTGTCATATTCAGTGTATTACTTTTGTATTCTGTGGTCATTTAACACATGCAAATTTAGCTGCCCCTTTTTATTAGATCCCTGCCTTTTGATAATGTGTCACTGACGACATTTCATTTACCCACAAGCCCTGCACGGGGATCTTCAGGAACGCGTGGGTCATGTCACAGCGGACCTGACTGCGTCACGCTGGAGAAAAATAAATCAGCAGCAAACGTAGAATTCCACGTCCTTTCCCCTTCCCGCACAAGCAGGGAGTTGGGCCTCCCACAAAGACTCAAACATAAAAGCAGAGTGAAAGGTATATTCCGTCCAAGTCTTTGTTATCCCAAAAGACCTTGTAGCCTTTTTATAGACCTTAAATTTCCTCAGATTTATTCTTTGATTAAGCATCCAGGGAAGGAGACTCCACAATCTCCCTAGGTAATCCATTCTATTTTTTCTAAAATCCTCTCCTGATAATTTTCTAAGACTTGCGTAATTTTTTTTAAGTATCAAAAAGCCAGTTCTAGCTGCATGTTCCCAAGAAATGGAGAAAAAAAAAAAAACTACAGGTTTGACATTATTAGAATAGAATAGAATAGAATAGAATAGAATAGCCACAGAGCTATGGGCACACCCACATGGATTCATTCATTCTCAGACCACAGCTATTTACTGAGCAGCCACTATGTGCCAGAAACAGACCAGAGCAGGACACCAGCAATGAGCCAGACAGACATGGTTTCTGACTGTAGTAGACTCACACACAAAGGGAGAGGCAGGTGCCAATAAACCATCACAAAGCAAAATATATCCGTGTAAACTGATAGATAATTAAGGGTTTGCTGAAAGATGACACCAAGAGGCACTGATTTTGTTTGGTGGGTCAGGGGACGCCTTCTCTGAGACCTCGCGATGACCAGGAGTTACTAGTTGCAGAGAAGGGCCCAGTGCCAGGCAGAGTGAGTTGCAAGTGGGAAGTCTTTAGTCACATGTGGGAAGAACAAATAGAAGACCAGTATGCCAGGACCCAGTGAGCACGGGGACAGGAGTGGTGGGCGACAGCGGCGGGAGAGCTACAGCAAGGCCATTGGCACCACGTTTAGAATGTGGGATTGTATCCTGAGTAAAATAGTAACTCGTTACCTAGATGTAATCAAGTGAGTGACAGGACCTGATAAAAATGTTATCCTTTGTGTGGAGAAAGAACTGAATTATGAAGCTAAATAGCAGAGTGGAAAAGGTTTAAACAGAGAATGGTGACCGCTACCAGCTTATAGTGTAGACTCCACCATTTGCTAGTCAAGTAGTTTTGGACAAGCCACTTAACCAAAAACTTAACTGCTTAAACTAGTTTCCTCAGTATATCAGGGCGAGTAAAATTGCCCAGAACAATTTCATAGTATCACCATAAAGAATGACAGAAATAGTGCATGGTAAAGCACTATAAAAACTTGAAAGTCCCACATAAAAATAAGATATGACCAACTGGAATTATATAGAATATATCATCTAATATAGTTTACCTACTTT